CAAAAGGCAGAAGCCTAGATCTACAGCCGCCGGCATACCGGTTTCCTAATTATTATTAAAACATATCCTACTAAGAATGCCCGCCTGAGAAACATTTAACCCAGTACAGTTTATATTAATTACTGTCTGTAGGGGATTACCCTGCGATAATACCATATTACAAAAGCAGAAGATGTATAGAAAATCTGTAAATATTATCCCCAGCATACTACTTACCAGATAATACTTTGAAAGGGTCATCACAATAATATCTAGCTATAATAATAAGCTGTTAAAAGAATAAAAACCGTTAAAGAGAGTGCCCAGTAGCAGGAAAATAACCATCTACTTATACTTAGTATAATATTTAGAACCACTCAACTCCAATCCATACAGCCGATGACGAAGTGTAACTAATACTTATACTAAGCATAGCTTGAGTTGTTTATAGTTGAGGGACTAGGCTTCTTACTAATATATTTATATAATTCTGTAGTAGTACGGCTTGTGACCAACCCAATCATAATAGTAGCAGTAGAAGGATGCTAGCCGTCTTTCTTTCCAAAACATCTAAAAAGAACGGCCTACAGCCTGCATCTTGTCTTAAAGGTGCAACCCTTGCAATGATATTAAGTTTGTAAAATAATTCTATCCAATTAATTACAGCTCTATACTACTTATAGGACGGCGGGCCGAAAACCAGGAAATATAAATATATAAAACAAATAATAAATAAGATAACTTCGTCTAAATCAACAGACCTGCCAGGAAATCATATATTTTGTAAAATAGCAGACTTTAAAATAGTTAGCAGCTTCTCTGATTATTGCAGCACTGCATACTACTAGATCTGAGGAGAAATACAGGCGATCTTGAATTCGGCTTAGCTAACAACTATATTACAATTAATAGGGTTTTGAATTTTTAGGAAAGTAATAGTTTATATTTTAAGTTATATATAAAACAGTACAGATAGTGGATTTTTATATATTATCTGAAGTAAGGGATCAGTGTATGAAACATCATCATCATCACTATATTATGATTTTGGAATAGGAAAGAATATTTATATAAGGATTTTGGTTTATTATAATTATGTCTTTTTATCTTCGTCAAGCGCTATGATTAAGTACTTTAAAGTGCGAATTGTATTCTTCAATCTCTTCTTATTAGAGGTAAGGTAGTTTTAAAAGTGCTTGATCCTTTTTTACTGGCTTTATAGTACTTTCTGTAACTTTAAATTATATTTCTTCAGATTAGCTTGCCTTTTCTAAGATAGATGTAGGTCTTGCTTGAGTTTTTCTAATTATAGTATACTACTTTTAAAAATAAAGATAGACTTATAATCTGCCTCTACAGCCCAGATTTCACCTCTTTTAAGTATGTTCTGTAATTAAATATAGGTATTCGTTAAAAGCTCGCTGAGTGGTTTTACAAAAAGATAGTGTTTAGCATCTTTATAACCCTATAAATAGCTATCTCTCAGCAAAGGTTGCAATCTTACTTTAGATGGCAAAATATTTATAGACAATTTCTTGTCTATTATATTTTAGTTATATTCAAACTAAATTCTATGCTACTTATAAATATGTTTTAAGAGTGCTTCGCGATATTTAGTATATTTAAAAGCCTGTTTACAGTTCGCGGAGTTGGATATTATATAGTATGTTCCAGCATTAGAAAGTATGTTTGGGCTTTTATATAAGAGTGTGAATTACAATTTAATTTAAGCAATAAAGAGTACTAATAATTACTGTTTATACCAGGGGGTTGCATGCTCCAATTGATTGCAGACAAGATATATAGTATGTAACCTATTAAGGGCACTATATATTCTGACTGTACAAGATCCGGAAATCCTCTGTATTAAAGTAGAGAGACTTAAACAGAGGCTGATATATTGTAATAAAATAGGTAGTTTAAAATAAACTCTCAACTACCGGCCTCTAATGGGACCCAGAATCCCTTTAATACTATATACACCCTTTTTATCTATAATCTTTTATCTAATTGGCCCAACTGCTTCGACTAAATTAACCCCCCAACATCAGAAAACGAAATCTTTTTTCTATAATTTAAGTGCCTGGTCGACTATCCCAGCTAGAATTATTCTTTTATAAGTACTAACTGGTTTTGTTTCTTATCAGCTTATTTAGAATAATATCTACAACTAATTATATTTTAGTATACACTATGTAATATAGTAATAAACTGCTGTAAGAGATCTACAAAGATAATTATCTGTAGCAGATATTTTAGTATAATTTTAGTAAGTTTTTAAAAATCTAAATGTAAACTATAATTAGAAACTTAGTTTGTACCACTATTTTTTCATCTATAGACTATCTAACTCTAAATATATACAGTATATTTAATATATCTGGGTACCTGTATTAGTACTTTTAAACAATTATTAAGGATTACCTTTAAACCGCTATAAATATTAATACTTTTACTGATCTTGGTCATTTGCTATAATAGAATCTAAAATTTATTATCAGAAGAACCTGAGGTCTAATAAAATCACCTACTAAAAGAAACAGAGATATTGTACACCTCCACATCATACAACAACAGAAAGCAAGTATTTGTTAAGAATTTAGAAATTAGATTGTATATATACAGACAATCAGAATTATTACTATATAAATACTATACAAATAAGCGAATTATTAAGATTAAGTATACCAGCAGGTTTAGTTACCAAGCCGGCTATCTAAGGGTTATAATATCATACTTAGCTAATAACAAAGTTGATTTTAAGTACTGTGCGTGCTTAGAGCTGTAGTAAGATTCTTTTAAGCTCTTATTACTATTATAAACTATATTACTAAAATTACAGCTGTTAGATATTTTTTATAAGTTACAAAAACCATTGCTGGTACTAGAAAAGTCAAGACCCTAATAAAGCTAAATATATATAAAATAAAGCTGAAATCAGCTATCTAATAATCAGAATTTCCGAGGTGAATCTAACTATAATATTCCTAGTGTATACAGAAAAGCAAACAAGTAATAATCAAGCCCCATCCTCCTTATTTTATAAACTATTTAATATCCCTAACATAACCAGAGGCTAGTTTAGCAAGCTTAAGAAAAAGTAATAAAAATAAATCTAGGGAATAAGCATTATATGTTTTATATATATTAATAATAGTACTAATAGTAATTTTATTTCTCTTTTTTATTTATACTATTCTACTATAGTAGGCCTTTTTTATTATTTTAGTTAACAAAGCTAGGATATGATTGCTGCTGGTATGTAATGTATTGCAATACCCGCCAGCAACCTTATAATAAGTAATATTTCCCTTATATAAAGCAGACTTAGGATATAGTATTAAGTCCCTTACTTCCAACTAAGGGTGGCTATTACTGCTGGTTGTGGAAAAAGAAGTAGAGATAGTAGCAGTATTTAAAGCAACTGGAACAGTAGTTGCTTGTAGATTCCCTCTAAAGGTAGCAGCACTGGTCAAGTATATTTTATTAGTTGTAAAGCCAACAGAGGTCGCAATCTAGGCCTTAATATTTGTAATACTTTTATAGAGAACAGCAGCAAGAACATTGTTCGCAAGCAGAGCATCAACAAGGAAAACAAGCAAATTGATAATCAATATCTAAGCCATAGAGAAGTGTATAGTTCTAAATGAATAAACTGTCCTTTGTCTTTTCTGTGAAGGCCCAGGTCTTCCTTGCATTGCGGGTTCCTTTACGACCTTCTCATACGATATGTCCGACATTAATAGCCCACACGGGTCAAAGCGCAGAGAATGTAAAGAGGATCTCAAAATTGGCTTGACCAACAAATACAATATAAATATTTTTTGGAGCCACTGCTAAGATATTAGCTCAGATAGACTATTAAGCAGCATAATGTAATTTTAGTAAAAGTTGTATACTAAATAGACTGTATTTTAGACAACCCTATAATTTTAACACAGCCTTGCTTAATAAAATGATAATGCTAGCATCTTAGCAGTAAGATTCGGAAATATTTATAATATATTTATTGGTTAAGCCAAATTCGAGCTCGCCTTCAAATCAGAAAATAATATTAAACGGCCATATAATATGTGTAGTTCATTAGTAGAAGGCTTTGATTTCTAGTAATAATATAGTTCGGACAAGTCTAGGATACTTTCAATACCTCATTACTGGCTTTCACTTAATATCTAATAAGCTTAGAATAAGAGCTATGTATCTTGGAAAGGCTTACTCCCTTCACCAAGTATAAAGAAGTATAAATTTGATAAGGTTCTCTATAAACAGTAACAGAATTAGTAATACTAGTGATCAGAAGAACAAAGCACGCAAAGTTTGCGTATATTTAATACAGAGTAAAGCAACCAAAAATAATAGTCTAGCTTGTGGATATAGCAGTAAGAAAGTGAAAAAAAGTAAAAAAGAGTGCAAATTAATGGTATTCAAATAACCAGGGTCCTATATAAATTAATTACGAGGTGTGATTGATCTTCGAAACTCAATTGCTCTTGCTTTTTAGAACTAGGAAGTGAATCACAAAAAATATTACGGTGTAATTTAGTTAGCTGCGCAATTCCTATTGCTGGAGCTTTGTATCACTTTTCCATCTCTTTATTAAAGACTCTTTAAAGTCAAGCTAGTAGAACATTATTATAGATAATAAACAAAGCCCTAGAGAAAATTGCAAAAAATCCTGTTACAGCAGTAGTTACAGTAGCTGTTAGTAACCATATCTTAGACTGTACTGTATATACATTTATTAAAGTATTAAAGAAGCCAGTTGCCGAATTAATCAAAATAGGCCTGTTGGCAACCGTCAGCAATGTCTTATACTAATCAGAGAGATAGCTGTATAAGAATATCTTACATACAGTCTATATATAATTATACTGATTATGGTAGTATAGCCAATATACTCTAAAAAGGCCTATAAAGCAGCATGCCGAAGCAATACTAAGAAGTAAGATATTTTAAACAGTATAGTATACTGTTTTTCTAATTGCATTGCTATCAGCTGTCGATTTGAATAATGCAGATGTTTATAGTAATATAAAAGTACCTGGAAAAACCAAATACCCAGCTAGAAGAATCCAACAGAATACAGCAGCTAGAATACTATCTAAAAGGGGTATATTCTCCATATCAATTAACATCTGCACATATCTAACAGGGAATTCTAACTTTTTTTTATAGTTTTTCTCTGATTTATACCAGTCTTGAGGAATCATAGATTTTAGAGAAAATTATTTCAGATATGTCTTCCAGCTCATGATTTGACCAAGATTTCGATAACAATTAATATAGTCTTTATATTAAATGAAGAAGAGTTCTGCATTCGCCATTTCAGGGTTCCCTAGGTATTTAAGTACTGTACTAGTTTCAGAGTTTTATATTAATAATTTGTTAATTGCTTATAGCGATAGCCTATAAAATGCTCCCTGAGATGATAGACCACTAATAGAGATCGAAGAAAATGGGAAAAATGCCAGTTCTGCCAGCTGAAATAGAATATATGATACTTACAAGACAGAGATTTATTTCTGCTGAATACAACTACTGTACTGTAAGTAGACTTAACTGCTTCGTAGCTGAAATACTTACATTGTAACTTCCAAGGAAAAAGAAGGACAAATTTGTTGAATCCCAAACATATATACTAGTCTATACTTTAGTTTATTAAGACTTAATTAACTATTCAACATTAAGGCAGTAATATGAATAGCTTAGGTATGGCTTCTTAAGGAATAGAGCCTTTCCTTTCTTGCTTTGAAGAGCTCGGTCTTTGACCAGGGTAATTTATTTTCCAGAAGCCATATTTGTATTTAATAGTTATTTGTAGTCCTGTATTACTTAGTTTTAATTATTGTTGCACCAAGATATTAAGCTTTATTAAGCTTATTTTCTCTTATCCAAATATAGATTATATAATCTGTTCTTCCGTTTCTGATATTTATATTATTAATAAACCATCGCCGCCTGGATGATAATCTAAGGATGTTGGAAAAATCACCTATTATAAAGTGCAGGCTGGTTTTGTTTTTAAAAACAGAATTGCCTAAGTAGGTTCGATGCTCTTTTTAATATAGATTTCTGAATTTTAGATGTATAGGCTCTGGCTCTGCCCATAATTGCCATGATATAGGCATTATAAATCAGAATCTCAATCTTATTTTTCTGGATGGGACTTTCAGTAAGTCACTCTGAAAAGTAAGTTTAAATTAAAAAACACACCTTTTCTGCAGGTTTGATGCCTTGACTAGCAGGAGATGCTTAATACAGGTACCTATACTTATATCAGAAACAGTACTTACTGAGTAAGCTAGAGTACATATCTGTAACATATCTTATATCTAAGCAAACAGAACTTGCTTAAATTATAAACCATATTTTCTATTATCTTATACTACTTATACAAACAGCCCTGTCATTTAAATTTTGATACATTAATCTAACATACCTACAACAATACCCAAATCAAATCAAAGTATAATAAACACATCCCTTATTATTATAAGCTCAGTTAACTATGTATCTATATATTCTGAACATAGTATATCTAGTCAGCCTTTATTTTATTAATATTAGGACTTTATTATATTTATTAACAACTTTATGTTTTTCTTTAGGTAATAGAATACCGAAGAGTCGCCTTTTACTCTTTGAAAACTCCCTACAGACCTTACAGAGCCAGGGATGTAATATAAAAAGATCCAGAATTTTAATATCAGCCTCAAAAATCGTGGTTCTCTGGCTGGGATTTATTGTTGTTTTTTATATTATAATTAAACAAGCAGAATGAATACAAGAACTACGCAGGATAATGGGACATTGGTAGCTAATAGTAAGAAGAATATATAATTAATAATATTAATAAAAGATATTAAGAACCTATAATTATATAATGGTATAGCTTATATCTCAGATAGTAAAACCTAAAACTATCATATACTCTATGTAAACAAAAAGCTGGAGTATTCTTTATCAAAGCTGACATTTAATCTGTAATTTAATATTATAATAGTGATTCTTACTAGGGAGAGTTAGTGTTTGCTTGTCCATAAAATAAAAGATATATAAAAGGTATCTACTTACTCCCACCCCTGAGATGACTGGAGATTCTTATATATTAAAGATTTATCTTCGCCTATACCTCCTATAAGACTGAATGTAGTGCATTTGCTGATTCCAATTCCACCTATTACCCAGCCTTTATTATTTAAATATAATAGATGTTTTAAAAGCAGAGTTTTATAGACTTCTTTACAGATATTATTACTAAAGGTAACCTGGTAATTGCCGGTTGCTGATATACTTAGAAATAAGTTTATAGTCTGCTTTCCGATCTGACTGATATTCAGACTTATAGCAGAATAAAAAAGTCTATTTTTAATTGTAAATAGTTTGAAGTTGCAAAAATTATTTAAAATAGATGTAGCAGCCGACAAACTGAATTTTGATTTCTAAATTAAAGCATCTTTTGCTGACGGTGCCTTAGTTGCATATAAGATATCTGTTAAAAAAATAGTTTTTTCCAAATCACTGCTTATAGAGGTAGGGCTTGCAGTCAGGCTAGAACTGAATACTATAAATAAAGTTAAAACTAATTTAATAGTGCGTACTTAGGAAGCGGTAAAAATATATTTAAGATATATAGTCTCTGCCTCTCTGATAGTACTAATGTTATATTGGACTGTACTGCAAGTACAATAGCTTTAAATACCGGTAGAAATAATTCCTGTACTTGCCGGTATTATTATACTAAAATCTATAAATTAATAAAATATTAACAATACTATGTATACATACGACGTAATGCTGCAAGTAAGGGTAGATACTATATTTAAGATAGATAAAACTTTTACTTTAGATTATAGAGAGCTGGATGGATTAATAAAGGAAGCCAAATTTATATAGTATATTATAATAGTAAGAAACAATATAAAAGCTATGGTATATAAAAGCCGGATTCCGAGTTTTAAAGATGCACCTAAGTGGCTGATTAAGTAATAAAAATATATACTGTTCTATATATCAAATAAAAAAATTTGTTTATAGGTTCTGAACAGAGACTATTATTTAAGATTAATATCTTACTATAAATCATATATTGCAGATCTTTTCTGGTACTGTTATATTGCCTATAATAACCGGAAGCTTAATTATCTACAATACCTTGTTTATTTTAAACGTTAAGCCTATCTAACTGCAGGCATACCCGTTAACAAGTGTCGCAAGTGGAAGACCTAAACTTAGTTGGATATTAGTTATATATCTAGGAATATGCCTTCTAGTTATAATATAGGTCACATTATAGCTGACAGTAATGTGGGATATTCTAATAATAAAATTTTAAATATCTTAAGGCTAAGTATAAAACAGGAATAAGAAAGGGTGAAACTACTGCATCTACTCTCCACATCTACTCTCCGCAATATACGTCAGCAAATTATAAGCAGACATCACATACAAAACAGCTCTCTTGAAATAGAGGATTTCATATATGGCTGAGAAACATGCTTCCAGTCATAAACTGATAATAAAGCCAGTCAATTTGAGCTAGTAGTTGGACTTTAATATTAGAAGTGACTTAGGGTATAACAGCTAGTTTAATACTATCCTACAAAGAACCAAAAATACCACTTAAGATTACTGTAATGTATTTGATATATTCTGATATATATTTTACTTCTATTTGTTGCCCACCATTTTCTTCTGTATAATAAAATTGTTATTTCTTGTTATTTAATGCAGTGTGAAAACTTATCTAGAATTTAATAAATCACAAACTCTAGCATGTTCTTCTAAAACTTTGCACTTAAAATAAAGCGACAAGTATGCTCATTTGAGTGCGGTATTTTAGCCTGCAAATGAGTGAAAACATGTTCTAGAAGGAGGTAGCTGGCAATAAACGTGTGGTTTTATCTATGCTTTTTTAACATTTAGGTGGGTGTCAACACAACTGTAGTTGTATTATGCCAATACTCTTTGTAGCCACACTACTTCTGCATCCTCTGTGAGCCTATAGACTACCTTTTTATTCAATTAAGAAGTGACTTCTTCTAGCTGCAATCTCACCTTGGGATAAATCTTGACGGAATGTAAACAAAGAGATTTTTTAGTCAATAAATAATACCGCCTAGAATCTAAACACATAGTCTCGGGAAACCTTCGAGGGAGTCCTCTGGCTAAATAGATTTTAGAGTGCTCTAAGATGTATGAGAAGGCCAATAGAAACAAAACATATCGTGAAAAATTTCGCGAAGACCGTTATTAGGAGATTTCCAGAGAACCATAGATATAAAACATCATAATACAGTTTCAGTACTGTGCCTTCTACAACCGTTGAATACTCGCAACTTTCAAAACTAGCTCTCAGATCACTTCGAAATGGGCAAGGCTCGATATTTGTACATCACCACAATATCAAATATAGGCCTCCACCCCCACTTGTAGCATCAAGTGTTCTGTTACCGCAGTAAACAACACTGAATTTTTTAATCTTAAGGTGTTTTATACTATCAGACCAGACTGCACCTCCCTGTGCAGACCGCTGTAGGTAAAATAACCACTGAGGTGATTAAATCTTATATATATCTCCTTTAATCTGAAGGATGGCTGGTGACAAAGACGGCTCCTGCTTAAAAATAAGTTTCCAAGTTTGTAGAATGGGTTAAATCAGCTTATCTGGAGTATATCACGAAAAAGAGACACCAAGTAAAATATATCCAGCAAGTAATCCTTTTTGATTATCTATAAAATATATTTATTAAGTATACCTACCAAATCGCACAGCGTGCAGATATTATTAACAACTTCTGTTATATTAGAAACCGGATAAGAATAAGTAATTATTGACATATTTGCAAGCAATTTGTTGTTTATTGTAGCAAAATAAAAGACTTAAGATTTTATAAGTTATATAATAAAGTAGGGGAGTCTTATTGATCAATTACTTATATATATTATAAAACTCAGCTATAAGCTTTTGTAGTGCCTGGGAATATTTTGATCCTCTTCTTGCTCGTCAAGTAAGATAGAAGAACAAAAATAATCTTAAATTCTTAGGTACCTATAATAAGAATCTCTTTTAATAAGTCAGTTTTTATAATTCCTGTAAAATGTGCTTTTATAATCTAGATGTTATATAACTAATTTCTGTTATCATAATCCAAGGGCCTGCAACTTAACCATACTTAGGACAAGCAGCTGCCAATACGGAATCTAATAA